ATGGAGATTTATGTCTTCAAAGTGCTAAGCAAAAGACTTGTGTCAAGTATCCTCACAACAGGCAGACAGCCATCTGTGTTATAAATGGCCCCGAGGTCCCCAAAGGGAGTGCCAGAGGCCCATGCTCTGAAGGAAGAAGAAGGGATCAATCTGACCAGTCTTCTGTTTCCATCAAACTTCAAGAGAATGTTTTTCAAATAGTAATGGTCAGAAAATGGCACTTTGAAATACATACGGGAAATACGGTGGACTCTTCTTTCAGAATGTTTTCATTGGGTATCCAGACAGCATGTGCACAGGTTCTGAATGCACCCTTAGCTCCAGCAGGTGTCAACTGGAGCCTGCTCTTCCATTCTGAGTTTGGACTTGCATCACAGAACATTTCTTACCAGGAGAATATTGGGCACGTGGTCTCAGTCCACACCCCTGCACCAGCAGAGGGAAACCCCCCTGTTCCCACACCGTGTCCTCATCGTACCCACAGGTGCAGGTCTTTGGCTGCTCCTGTCTTCTGTGAGCCGCTGTTATTTGTACATGGTGGAAAAGCTTCAGCTACAAAATTATTGTTGTGGTACTTAGGTGGGAAACTGAGAACCCAGGACTTCTGTTGGAGTTGTTGTTCTGTCTGGGATCGTAGATGGATTCAAGCCAAGCCTGTAAGTTCTACATCTGTAGCAGGCAATTCAGTGGCAGATCAGACTTTCTTTGCACACAGACTGGTTCTCACAGGATAAATGGGCAAACACATTCTTGATAAATCTGATTGAAGGCTCCTAGCACTGTGGCTGAGCAGAGCACAGCAATGGGATTGTTGGTTTGGGGTGCGAGTTGAGTGCAGTCTGTCAGCATCCAGGGCTGTTGCTCAGTCATCAAAAACTGATGGAATTTCAGTGTGCTACATTAAGTTGCAGCGTGCTTATAGACTTATAGAAGGTGTCTGTGTGATTAGAAAGTCTCTCAGACATGATGAATAAGAAACTCTGAGATCTGAACCCTGCAGCAAGGAAAGAAGAACACGGCACTCCAGCACTGAGCAATTCAAACGAGCTCTGCTTTGAGCCATCTTTACCTTAGGTTTTTCCAAGCAGACTGCTCTGCTGGGGAAGAAGGAATTTTGCTTGAACAAGACAGCTGCTGGGAAATGTAGTGAGTAGCTATTTTGCATAGACTTAAGTGAAAAGAAAGTGATGTCAATGATGTAACTGATTGTTGCAAAGCTGTGTGGGAATGTAAATCCCTTGATCTGTATGGTACAGCTGAGGTCCTTCACACAGCACTCACCCTGCTGTCTGACCTTTGATAGATCCAGAGGCAGAAAGCAGCAGGACCAGCTCCTGGATGGAGCCTGGCACACAGCTGGGTGGACTGCAGAACAAACCCGACAGCTGCCATGACAGACCATGGAAGCAATATCACCTGGGGCTCCCTGCGTAAGGCAGCCTATGGTTATGACTTCTTTCTCCTTGCCCCTGGTTTTGTTTAGCCTGGCTGTGAATGACTGTTGGGCTTGATTCTGTGCTGTTACACCACTGGTAAAGCAGGAATGACAAGCAGTCATGCTATGACAAGAATGGAGATGTAGGCACTCTGTAGTCTGGAGGGGATAAGCTAAAGCTATCATTTAAGTCTTCCCATTGGAAAAGCAAGACAACTGTGCTTGTGGTTTCTCATGCTTGTCAATTTTTGTGTTGGTGAGGTGGTGCTTTGCTGCTGTTTGCATCCAGGGCTGTAGTGGTCCTGTGAGTATGCAAGTCCCACAGCACCCACAGCCCCAGTGCTGCTATTCCATTCTTCCGTTCCTAAATCTCCCACACTTAAGAGAGTAAGAAATGAAGTAAGAAGAAAATGTGTTGAATAACCACTTCTCATGTGAGCTACTATTAAATGTTTCTAGTCCACTGTTTCATCAGAGAACAGTTTGGGAAGTGAATTGGACAGCAATGGCTTGGCAGCTCATCCAACACCAACTATTTCAAAATTGCACCTTGATGAAACACGTTGGCAACTGTGTGTATGTGACCTCTGCTCTTCCTTCAGCAAAAAAGGCTGGTGGCATTCTGAACTATTGTTCTTTTATTTAAAACTGGTCTTTCAACTGAGAGCCAAAAATGTTTTTCGGTGAAGCTTTGAAAAATCATAAAAGAAGTCCAGCAGCTCATAAGAATTTTGCATTGCCAGCTCTTCATAAAGTAGAGGAGCAATCTTCTGTATGTTCTGGCTAATCCTTAGCTCCATAGCGTTTCACCTTGTTCTCGCAACAGAACTTACAATTAATAATTCATTTCTTTTTCATTTTTATTGGTACTTTCAGACATTTATAGCCCTGGACCATCCGGTTATTCTTTTAGCAGTATGCATGCATCTCCAATCCCTGTTTGCAGGGATGTAATTCTCAGACTTTATTATTTCTGCTGTCCATCATTCTTTAAATTTTTTTCCCAGTAATGTGAAATGTCATCTAGTGCATAAACTGCCTCAGTCATGATGGACTCAGGGATATCCTGAACAGACTCTCACCAGCTCAAGCAAGTTTCTACATTTTAATACAATCAAAGTATTTCATCAATTTAAAATTTTAAAACGTGCATCTGCATTGAATTTTACTCCTAAGACTGCATGAATACCAACACCATCTTCTCTCGTTCAGAAATACTGCTCATCAGTCAATGATTCCAAGGCCTTGTTGCAGCCATACTCGGAGAGCTGCGCTGTGGCTCTGAGTTGACTGCAGCAGCATTGGGCCCTTGTTCAAATGCGAGCTGAGAGATTAGCAGCTTCTGCTGATTTTGGCCACGGAAGAGAAAGGTGATCTTTCAGTTAAGGAGGTGTTAAGAGCCAGGACTTTAATCTGTACCGACGCAGCACATTTTCAGTGCAATATGCTCTGTGCAGGAAGTGCAGGTGAAAACAAGCCGGCTGTTCAGGCACCAGTGCTTTGCAGTTTTCAATGCTTTTCATGTAGAGGTTAATTGTATGGTATTACACTGAAGCCAAGCTGAAACTGACTCTGATGTTTCATTAGCCAAATTTAAGAGCTTGGCCAGATCGTGAAAGGCTTCAGAAAGAAAATCTTACTCATTTTTTGATAACTTCTTTCATTCATTCTACATGATCACACAAACTTGCATCGTGAGCAGGATCCTTGGGTAGTTAACTGGACTCAGGCACATTCCTCTGGAGATCCAGAGCATGCTGACTCTGTGCATGTTTAAACCTTGCAGCAGCAAAACAATCTGGCTCACCAGCTAACAGTCCTTGTCTTCTTCTGCCCTTCTGAAAGACATTTTACTTTCTGCTTCTGCAAATCTTTCCCATCTTAAAATTTCACTCCACTTATAGAGGTCCCTACATTTTCTCATTAGTTCTTTTAACAAATCCAGATGCATCTCTCCTTTAATTGAGGACAGATATATATTTAGTCTGTTCAAATGTCCTTTCATTATCTTTTTATTCACTCTTCATTCCTCCAGCTGAGTCTAGCAATTTTTCTGAGTTTTCCTGTAAAGAATCTTTGATTCCCTCATCTTCATTACTCATTTTATAGCAAACTGGTATTTAAAATCTTGGTATTTTGTGTGTGATGTAGTGAATTTTGTCATAAAGGAAATATCTCTTGCAAAGACAATTTACATTTTTGCTGTGGTCTTGAATATCAATAGCACTGTTTTACTCGCACTGGAGCTGTTTGACAGTCTGGTATTATTTTTATCCAGATTTTTCCAGGCAGTTGGCAGCAGTACATGCTGGAAAGCACTTCTTCAGTATCTCTTTCACTGAAATTGGTGGTTCATCAACACTGTCTGTAATTTGTTTCGCTTACGCAGCAATAGAATCCAGTTTGAATTGCAAATAAATGGAATCTCAACACTGTGCAGTCTTCTAGCATATGGAGTCGAATCAGCTCTATTCAGTTTTAGAATGTTTTCCCATGTTGCAGAAAAAATATAAGGAATTTAGGCCATTTCTTAAGACTCATCACAAGTCATCAGAAGTAGAAGGCTCTTCTATATTCCAGTGTGGTTAAACGACAAGCCAATACAGTATCAAAAGCTTTTGAAGGTGCTTTTGAAGATGGGATTTAAAAATCTTAAGTATTAAGGTAAAGCACGGAAAGCACCTGTGATCAGACTCTGTCCAGGTAAAATCTGTAGGTCTGCAAAAAGAGGTAATAGAGGTGGCTTCAAAGTAGCTTTGTGCTTTGTCTGCTTGTGCTCCTCAACAGTGTGCATGGCTTTACAGTGTAAGAAATCAAAAGCTCAAACTTCTCATTTCAGGAGTCCCAAGGGTTACTTGTATAGCCAAGAATAACCAGAGCACAGATAAGCTCTTAATGCTAGGAGCTATGACACAGCTAAAAGCCCTTATAATTCCTGCTCTGTGCAATTTAGAGAATTTCTCTTGGCTGACTGTATTTGCAAGGAAATAATTCCACTTACTAGCCCTCATACACCACAGAATTGAAAACGTCTTACTTAATGTACAGTGCTGCAACAGGCTCTTGATTTAACTATGCAAAAGAAAACGGCATATTTTGCAATATGTCTAGGGAAGAGTTTTATAATATAGTCAGGTAATGATATTGCATGCTCTCCGCTATCATATTTCTTTTTGGGAGTCCTTCTACGTAACTTGGGGAAGACCTCTGATAGTTTACATCACTTATCCTTTAGAGGAACCTTCCCCAGGAATGCACACTCTGTACATAGGTGTATGTATGCATATTTTGTCACACACACTGCAAGAATGTCCTGCACGAGATCAAACCAGAGAACAGTCATGGCATGCCTGAGGAAGTGCGAGGAAATGCCTGAAGAGCCATCGGAAGGCCTGGCATCACCCCCCCCCCCGTCAATAACAGATGTAAACCTTCTGATAAGATTGTGATCCTGGCGTACCCAGCCAGTGGGGAAACAGGGGAGGGGGGGGGCAAGGGGAGAAAGCAGGGTATAAGGGCTGTCATGCTGTGTCCATAGGTGTGCTCCTGCTTGCGGGACGCCCGGCACTGCAATCATGAATAAAATCTGCTTTTATGAGAGATGCTGTCCTCACAAAATTATGTGGATATCTCCAACATTAAGAAACTCTTCAGTGATTAAACGCGGGTTTATTTTCTTAGTTGTGTGATGAGCTTAAGCATGCTTACTTTGCTGAAGCCCGGTGTATTTTTTAAGCATGTTTTCAGAAAGTCCTTACAGTTCTTCAAGGTGTGAATTTAAACATTCTTCAAACTCTTTGGTAGGTTTCTCTTCCTCTTGAAGGAACTTCTGTGTTGTTGCAGGGAAGGATGTCTCAGGAGAAGACTAAGACGTGCATAGAAAGCCATGGTTAGCAAACAGCAGCAAGTACAACAACATGCCTGCATTATCAATTGTTAAATGTAAAACATCTGTGCACAGAGCAGCTAATAACCCTGTAATTCTTCATATCTCTCAAAAAAGACATAACTCTGAACATATGTTTTAAAATGTGTTCAGGTGCCTAAGTAACATCATCTGAATACATTTCAACACCTCTGACGTTCATTCACAACATTAGGCTGTAGATTTTCCACTGAAAATGTAAATATCCTGTTAAGCAGAATTATGCTGCTTCAGAACCTCCAAAGTTTGGATCAGCTAAAGGTCACATCAGTCACTTGTGTAATTTAGACCAGGACAGAGGACAATAACTTGTCCTTTGGAACTGCAGAATGTAACCTGTGTTGGGTACTGCTGATAGCCTCCTGTAATTTTCTCTCTTGATTCTCTTCCACCTCATGAGATACTTTCTGAGGAAAGGAAGAAAATCTGTTCTCATTTCAGTGCCATTAACATCAAGGCCTGATATTTTGGAGAATGTACCAAACTATGAGTAGGTCACCGAAAAATCTTTTTTCCATTTAATGGGGATTTAGCAGACTGAAGCATAAAACATAGGAAAATCAGTTTTAAAGTGGTTGTCATGGAACTTAGGAAAAGACATGAATAAGTCTTTGTTGAAGCTGGAATCAGTTCTAAACACGTAAGAAGCAATTTCTGTTAATTCTTTTTGCTAATATTTAAGATCTGTTCATTGGAATGTCTTCATAAAAGAAACCTCTATCAAATGAAATCACCATGCTTTAAATAACTTCAGTGTTTATTTGTGTAGATAATTACAACTTTATGACATGCATTTTTAACAGTTAACTCAAAGCAGCTTTGTAGTTTTACTGTAATACTGACTAAGAGAAAGGTAATTTTCTGTCTTTGGCTATGTATTGAGAAAGATTATTAAAATTTATTATCCTAATTAAACTGTATGTAAAAAATATTTTAGTAACTGATAGAATTATTAGTCTAGAATGCCTGGTTTTGTTTTTCCTAGAATGTAAAATGGAGAGTTATCTGTCGATACATCAGATGGGGATGGCTCCAAATGATTTCAATATCCAAATATTTTGTGCAAAATGTCAGCTCTGTCATACCTGCACCTTTTTATTCTAAGATCCATTGTATCAGAATGACATATTCCCTATTTCTGCAGCAATTACAGGCAGATTCAGTCTTTGCTTGTGGCTTGGTTTAAATCTGCTCTTTTTCAGGCCGAAAGATGCAAACTACATAATAGAAAGACTTTACAGCACTATTCTGTTCATTCAAACTGTTTGCAGCAAACCTTGATATGAAGTTTAGGGATTTCCTAAAGGAAACTCCTTTACTTTTCAAACTATAGCGAGTAAATGATGGTCAGAAATAAATACTGGATGTAATACCACCCTTGTAGCCAGGCTTTCTGGACATGCACAGCTCCTCAAAGGAAATTCACAGATAAAGCAGAATTTTCCTATTCCTAGTGCCTCCAAAGTAGTGTTTTAGCAGGGTGGGGAAGAAAGTGACATGATTTGCTACATAGGAAGGAACAAACTAGAGGTATTGAATCCCCTTGTTGCACAACATTCTTCTATGAATCCCTGCACAAGCACTGATCTTCCAGTGCTTGAAAAACTCTGGAGGAAAATCACCTTATGTCACCTTTTTCCTTATAAACATGTACAGGATTTCCCACTCACAAATCAACATGATTTTGTACAAGGAGTTTTCCCTGAGAATTTGAATACCATGGACACAAGCACATTCTTTCTGCTACTCTCATGGGCTATTTCCTTGTGAAGTTTGGGCTCAGTGATAGAGTTCGCAGTGCTATTTTGAAGTATTTCAAGAAAGCTTTTGCATTACGAAGAAGACCCTCTGGATGGAGGCTTTTCTTAAAGAAACACCTCTGAAATCAATACTGAGCAAATAAACCCCTTCCAACAGCAGACTGATATGAGTATTAGTCTTCAGAAATGTTATCTCAAGTTATGAGAAATTCCTTCTAACAATGTTTACAGTTGCTGACTTGTCATGAGAAACACATGGATCTCATGCTCAAGCCATTGATAAAATACTGGTGTCCTTGGCTTCAACTGGTGCTTACTCTGATGTTCTTTCTTGAAACACAATGTAAGCCCCAAATGAGACATTTATGAATTTACTCAGTGTTGAGGGAAGAACGTTTATCACTCAGAACAAGCAGATGATGGTTCCTTACACCTTAGTATCCTGGGGGTAAGACATTGCTATCATTTTAGATAGATCCCTAATGCACTGTTTTTATGCACTTTGTGAGAAGGTTGTGTATAAACAGGTCTAAAAGGCAAAATTTCTTGTTAGCAAGTAAGCTTTGTTTTCCAAGGTTCTGATCTGTTTTTTTCACTCTGTTCTGTATTATCTTTGCTTTCTGTGCCTGAGGAAGGAAAACCATAAAGAAATTGCTTTAACCCACGTGTCAGGAGAGACTCCGTCTTTATTTTTGAATTTGTTTTCCTCAGATAACACTTCTTTTTTTGTCTTTCAGTTTCCTAACTGTATGCTGTACAGAAATGGGACCATTGCTAAGATTTCAACCTAACTTTTTGGGTAGATAGGCAACAAGGACTCTGCTTTTTCATTACTCATGTGTCAGCTGACCCCATATTTCCTTGGTGTAGACCAGTAATGAGAATCACCTTTTTGCCTCATTGTTTGCTGGCAGTGAAGCAAAATTTGATAAAGATGTGAATCTCCACATGGGATGTGTTAAATATATCTTTTCCTTAGACAAGAACAGCTCAAAGTTAACTGGATTGCTGGGCAGAAGCACTCCAGAAAGCCAGGCCTATTCTCACTCACAGGGCGCCTAATTAATTTGACTAGAGTCAATCTCTTTCTTGCCCTGTGAGTTGTGCCTACTTTCTTGGCTGCTCATTAAGCAGGGTAAATGAAAGCACTAATGTTTGGGATAGTCTTACATTTAGAAGTCAAGTCATGCTTCCAGACTCTTCACGTGTTTAGTCCCTTCAGCTTCCCAGGAAAGTTCTTACAACAACAAGCCTAGGAATTGGTCTGGCTAATTTTAGCCTCATTGTGGCTATGTCTGGAGGCCTCTTGGGCTAGTTTCCTCCAACCCTACACTGTGATACACCTTAGACAGCAGGTAGAGGTGTGGTCTTCTAAGAAAAATGTGCTTCTGCTTGTATATGAAAATAAAAATCAAGATGCCTAGGATATCATCAAGCCACTGAGGAAGGCATTTGGAGGACCTGAACATTCAAGCATCTACACACCTAAAAAGTGAGCAGCATGAACCATGGTAGGACCAAGACAGTCAAAATCATTCCTAATAATGTCCAATGCTAGAATTTCCATAGCTTTCCATTCAATTTACTCAAAAGTAATTTCCCATCCTTAAAGTTAAAAAGTTTCCTAATGCTACAGCCTTTCTTGTCTTATACCAAGTCTTGAAAGCAAGAGCACACAATGTATGTCCACCAAGAGAAACATGACAAAGTATTTGTGACTAAAAGTCAAAGATCCAGATTGGAGAGCACAATGTACAGAACAGCTTGCTCCGGCTAATAGAGAGAAATCATGAAAAATGGACTATTCTGAAACTGCACAGAAACTTATTGGCTATTTTTCTTTTTCTTCTTTTTTTTTTTCAGTGCAAAAGATTAAACCTTTTGCTGGAGATTGGACTGTTCTATTGAATTGTCTTCCCAGAGACTGGGAATGGTTCAAGCGGCCATTTTGTGCAGTTGTTCATTTCCATAGAAGAACACACCATAACGTACTGTTCAGGCAAAGAACATCTATTTCAATCTAGAAAGCCTGGAAACAATACATTCTGAGTTTCTGGAAATTTTCAGTGAATCCTAGCAGAGCATTCTAGTTTAAAGGCAGGAGTGGTTTTCTGTAACCTCTAAGTAGGAATGTGAAAGGACAGTGACTTCAGTGCACTGTTCATTAAGGTTGTTCACAGATTCTCTAGTGGGAGAGGAGATCCAGGTCTTTGTCAAAAGCCTGAGTGATTATTTTCTCACTTCTCTAAATACTAAAAGAGTAATTTTTGTAGGTTTCAGAACATCACCCTTGTTCTGATGTCTTCAATTAGTGCTACAATATTCTTAAGAAGAAATTTTGAATATACCGGAGATCTGACTTACATGAAACATCAATTCTGAAAAATCTGCCAAAGAACTCTGATTTACAATACGCTGTATTTTTTCCTCCTTGTTTCATCATGCAGTGGCTTTCCATTCAAACAAAGAACTCTAGAGTAACAGACAGTTGACTTGCCTCTAAAGCTGTAGTATCAGTCGGTCTGAATGATCAATTAATTTTGTTGATCTTCTGAACTTTTACCTGCTTGGATCCCTCTGATTTGGACATAAAACTCTGTATGAGAAACACCCCTTACTTAAAAGTTCAATTTGTACTTTGCCCACACATCTTCTGGCAAGTACTTTCCTCATTACCTAGGCAATTGTCTTGGCATCAACCCTGTCCTGAGTGCCAGCTGGGTAACAGTTTCCCTGTAGATTGCAAAACTGTGTCAGAATGGCCGTTATCCGCGGCCTGGCTGGAAACAGAAGCTTTGAGCCCTGCTGTCTGTCTGACTCTTCTGACAGAACAGAGGATGAGGACTGGTGTTTATCAGACTTTCCTGAAAAAGTTCAAACAATTCCTTTTGCTCCTAGCAGTTTAAAGAGGAAAACTTCCAATCCACGAGAAACTAAAAGTCATGTACTTAACATTTACACAAAACATAAGAAAATAAAAACGGAAGTGAGGTCAAACATTCAGGACTGTGCGGTTCCCTCCCTGTTCTCTGACTACTGGGGCACAGCTGCTGGGAGCACAGACACTGAAGGGCTGCACCGCTGTAGCTGTTCCTCAGGCAGGCCATCTCTGAGCTGCTGCCCACCAGCAATGAGGCTCCAGCAGCCAGGCGGCGGACAGGAAAGGGTGCGTGCACTTCT